CGGACCAGGCTCGGGCTCGAGCTACAGACGTCCCTTCTTCTAGCAGAGCCGGTACTTCTAGAGGTGGGAGTAGACCGGTTCCTCCGACTCCGTCGATTCATCCTCATGTCAGATGGCCAGATATACCTACTGAGTTGATGGCGTGGCAGTACGGGGCTAGCTTTCCGACTCCGATTCCACTAGAGCCTCCGATGCCCAGCGATCGATACGCCATTGATCCGGACTCACCGCCGGTATGCTCCACTTGTTTTCATTCATCATTCAGGTGTTTAGACACTCTTCTGTTCACTTGATGATTATGAGCTCATTTTTGCAGCCATCGCGAGGGTACATGGAGGAGGTGGTTGGACTGGTGGCCACACTCGAGGGCATGGTCCTACGCAGGGAGGCACAGTTGTCTGTCGCGGGCATTCAGGTACCCTTCAGTTTTCTGGCATTTATCATACTTCTGATGACATGCTGATTTCTACTGCGTCGATAGACCTTTTGTGTAGAGCACATCTGACACATACCCCGCTTGGACACTGTATTTATATGCACCCACTTCATGTAGCTTTTGCTTGTATCTGCATCTGATGTATATATTTGGACTGATGCCTTTGAATTGAACTCTTTGTTTTCAGATGCCTTCATGGTCCGGTCAGCCGCAGACCAGGCCACCTGGGCCTCCTTGGGGAGCTGGGCCATCTGGGCCTTTCCATGGAGTTGGGTCACCCGGGCCTTTTCAGGGAGCGGGGTCATCTCGGCCTTCCAGAGGAGCCGGGCCTTCTCGGCCTTCTCGGGGAGCTCGAGGAGGGCCTGTCCGCAGACGCAGGGCTCACGTTGTGGAGGTGGAGCCTGATGAGGAGGAGGAGGATGCTGTGGAAGAGGAGGAGGCTACCGACCGTCAGTCAGAGACATTTGCTGAGGAAGGAGGCTCCGACTCAGATGATGATGATGGTGTGGAGATTGTCCCGCAAAAGAGGACAAGGCGTGCTTCTCGTTCCCGCTCCCGAGGACTTTGATGTTATTATTTCCTGCTTTATTTTTCTTTTTGCTAATAGTTTGTAGAACTTTGCACATTGTTAGGCAGTTTTATTTTTTGTAAAACTTGTACCTTTGTTTGTTGTAAAGCATGATGAAATGAAATAGCTTTTGAAAAGATGTTTGTATTTTTAGCATCGTATCGCATCAATTTATTTTGCACAAAAATAAAATTGAATGGAAATGCACATTGTGTAATCACCAAGTCAGGTAGTGAACCGACGCAACAAACTAAACAACTCAACTTACTAAGATATAACAGAATCTTTCTCAAGTTTACAACTCGATAAGCAAAATGCAACAACGTAAATAAACAAGACTTTAACAAAGATTGCTTAAACAGAGAGCAATGACTCAAAAACACAAAACACGTCCGCCCGACAAACAACTCGATAAGCAAAATGCAACAACTCGATAAACAAAACTCAACAAAAACAAAGTGTACTTCTGACGATCTGGGCATCGGAACACATCCGAAATGGAGGGAGATGAAGGCTTGTGACTTTCCCATTGCATGGAAATGCTTGGAACTTTCCCTCGAAGAGTAAAACAGGGCCAAGGAGATACACTGCAGCATTGCCAGCCATCCCCGGGAGCCGGCCGGCCATTTTTTGAAAAAGTAAATGGCTGGCCAGCTATCTCTGAAAAAGTAAATGGCTGGCCAGCTAGAAAAAGTGGCTGGCCGGCCATTCTGTCCTGCAACCATCAGATTTTTGACACGTGTCCCCGTGAATAGTGTCTTTCTTTCTATAAAAGCTTCAACATCGGGAACATTCATTTCATCTTAGTTTTAGGCAAAGATGGAGGCATTTCTCGCAGAAAATATCACATCTTGGATCTCTTCTCTAGATGGCTCGGAAAAGCTGAATTTCCGGGGTTTCGGCTTGAATGCACTATTCACGCTGAGCCGTACTCCGCTACAGCTTCCTTTTCTCCATGCCGCGGCAAGGTTCTGGAATCCAGTGACGCACGTTTTTAGCTTCGGAGGCCAAGAGGTATGTCCCACTTTCGAAGATTTTCAGGTTTTGATGGAGTCTGAATGCTCCACTGTTTTTTCATTCATCATTCAGATGTTTAGACACTTTTCTGTTCACTAATGATTATGAGCTCATTTTTGCAGCCAAGTCAGGTAGTGAACCGACGCAACAAACTAAACAACTCAACTTACTAAGATATAACAGAACCTTACGAAGTTTACAACTCGATAAGCAAAATGCAACAACATAAATAAACCAGACTTTAACAAAAATTGCTTAAACAGAGAGCAATGACTCAAAAACACAAAACACGTCCGCTCGACAAACAACTCGATAAGCAAAACAACAACTCGATAATCAAAACAACAACTCGATAAACAAAACTCAACAACAACAGAGTGTTCCTCTGACAATCTGGGCATCGGAACACATCCGAAAC